CCATGTTGACCAGGATGGTCTCGATCTCTTGACCTCGTGATCCACCCACCTCGGCCTCCCAAAGTGCTGGGATTACAGGCTTGAGCCACCGCGCCCGGCGGAAGTCTTTCTTTTCAACCTTGTCACATTCTGCTTTGTCTTCATGAGATGAGCTCTGTCTCCTGGTAGGGATTCATCATTCTGAGTCTTAAGAAAACCAATTCTGTCATTGAGTACTATTGATTGTGAATGCTTTACTTCTTGGATTTTCCTTTCCAAACTGGTCCTCAGCTGGAAAAAGAGAACAATGTAACCCACCTTCCTAATTTCCATCTAAAGGAGAAATTGGCTGTATTCCATGGCTTTTCATGACATCTGATCATGATCTGGGGGACTTTCTTGATACTTAATTTTATTTAACAAAAATTTGAGGCCCTGTTATATGTCAGGCTCTGTGCTGAGTATTAGTGAATATTGGTGAACAGTAGATGTAGTCCCTGTCGTCATGGATGCAGATAAAGAAAAAATAGCTAGGCATGGTGGCTTACATCTATAACCCTAGCCCTTTGGGAGGGGGATGACTTGAGTTCAGGAGTTTGAGACCAGCCTGGGCAACATAGGGAGACTTGATCTCTATAAAAATAAAAAATAAAAAAAATAATTAGGCATGGTGGCATGTACTTGTGGTTCCAGCTATTCAGGAGGCTGAGGTGGGACGATTGCTTGCGTACAGGAGGTTGAAGCTGCGTGAACCTTGATTGTGCCACTGCACCCCAGCCTGGATGGCATAATGCCACTGTGTCTCAAAAACAAACAAGAAACCCAAAATTGCTTTGATAGGGGAAGTTCAAGGTGGCATGAGCCCATATGACCACCCAATCCAACCTTGGAAGACAGGGTGAAGATAAATCTGTGATAATCATGTGATATAATTGTCTCAAGATGCCCTGTGAATCAGTTGCTTTTCCCTATACCATGATGAAACTCTGACCAAGAGAAACCCAGTGTCTTGGAGAGCTAGGAGTGCCACCTCCATCCTCTTTTCTTCTCTCAAGCAGGATCAAAGAATCCTATAGTTTTGGTGTTATTGATACAGTCTATACAGAGTTCTTGGAAAAAGCCTTACTGAGCCTTTCCCATCAGAGAAAATGTGCTTGCCCATGGCAACCTTCAACCAGTCTATTTCTCATTCTCAACATTTTATCTTTACTCATTATCTTTCTGTTCCCAGCAGTAGCACAAATCAAATTTACTATGTTCCTTCCACATCCCCTAGAAAGGGTTTAATTATGATACAGTGAATGTTTTTCCTGAGGTTTTCTCCCCTAATTTTAATCTGTTAGGATTTATGAACATCTCTGTTATATAATTTAAAATATTGATGCTATATCAAAGTACTTTGACCCATCGGTAGGAAAAAATCTTATTGTTTATTTTTGTATTCTAATCTTCATACCTTATGAAATAGCCAATATGATGGAAATGTTACAATCAGAAAATCTATGGGGGGGGAAGATCTTTTAGGTTTCTTCATGGAAAGATAATACTTTTGAGTTAAATGGCAAGCCACTTCTGGGACTCTTGAATATTATGTCAGACTTTTAAGGTATTATAGTTCTGAGCTTTAGAGTAGATCCAAGGTTGCTCAATCTGCATACACAAATTTTTGGAGGGAAAACTTTTTTTTTTTTGAGACAGGATCTCACTCCGTTGCCCAGGCTGGAGTGTAGTGGTACTCTCACCACTCACTGCAGGCTTGACCTCCCAGGACCAAGCGATCTGTCTCCCACAGCCTCCTGAGTAGCTGGAACTATAGACACACACACACCATGCCCAGCTAATTTTTGTAGAGAGAGGGTTTTGCCATGTTGCCCAGGCTGCTTTTGAATTCCTGGGTTCAGGTGATCCACCCTCTTTGGACTCCCGAAGGACTGAAATTATAGGTGTGCACCACTGTGCAAGGCCTGAAGAAAAACCTAAGTTCCATTTATTTTCTGTATCTACAATCAGCTAAATATTGGAGGTTATAGCTCCATCCAGACTGACAGAGCAAATTATTGTTTAAAAAATGTTTAATTTTACTTCTTAAAAAAAGTAACACGTTTGCTCTGGCTGGTTTTTGGCGTTACATTTGGAAGACATTTTATGTCTGTTAGCTTTTCGATTCCTTATGCTTTCTTTGGTTGATTGAAAACTGACCATTTTAGTTTGAATATTTTTTCCGTTGGAATTTGAGATTAAAAAAAAAACCCTAAAAGGCCCAAAAAGAATTGATATATATAAATGTGGAAGAGTAAAATATTGAAATGAATATGGATATGAATGATTCGCACTTCACTTTCATCATGGTGATCTTAGAGGTACTAGACACTCTGGATTTGAGAGTCAGATATTGGACACCCTTGGCCCTGGTTACCTGCAGCAAACCAGTTTATTACTCAGTGACTTATTTAGCTCAAAAAGGAGACAGATTAAACTGGTAGTGTGACAGTCATGTAATTTGTCATCTCATCTCAGCACTTTTGGGTTTAGACTTTGTAGAACATTTATTGCTTATATGGGATGGTAGAGAATTGTTAACCTTAATTAGCCATTTGTTTTAACAGCTACTAAAAGCGCAGAAGAAGGCCCAGAGAAGGGAGCACATGTTAAAACTTGAGGCTGAGAAGAAAAAGCTTCGAACTATACTTCAAGTTCAGTATGTATTACAGAACTTGACACAGGAACATGTACAAAAAGACTTCAAAGGGGGTTTGAATGGTGCAGTGTATTTGCCTTCAAAAGAACTTGACTACCTCATTAAGTTTTCAAAACTGACCTGCCCTGAAAGAAATGAAAGTCTGAGGTAAGCTAATGAAAAGACTTTCCTGAAATGGAACACTTGACACTTTAGCTTTTTAGGGGTGTGTATTTGTGTGTGTGTGTGTGTGAGAGAGAGAGAGAGAGAGAGAGAGAGAGTGTGTGTGTGTGTGTTAGTGGGCTGGGGGGAGAGAGAGAGAGAAATTAAGAAAGCAATAATTTGATTCAGTATGGGAAACGTTGGCTGGCCCAGATTCTGACAGGGTTGACGGATTGTCTATAAGGAAAGTAAATTTGAATGGTCTCATTAACATGCTTCTTTATTGTAATACTGATTTTTTTAAAAATGATGTCTTGAGCATCAAATTTTAATCCTGTACCAATATAATATTATATCTATTTCTAAAACTTTTAAAATAATTTTCTCAGAGTAGCCTTCTTACTCCTGCTATACTTAAGTAAAGGTAAATAAGATTTAACTTGGCCAGTATCGTTAAAGTTTCAAAGTAAAAATTATTTGGTGGTGTTATTATGCTGTGAATAACTACTGAGAAATACATTTAATAGTTTAAAATACAAAACCTGCAAATTGGGGCTGTCTGATTTTTTTCCCTCACAGTGATCCATTGCTCTTCTTGTTTTGATGGAGTAAATCAGCTAGGGGACAGATGCTGTGATCTTCCTTTGTTAGATGCAGGCTGTTCCAGCTTCATATTTAGCAACCATGCTAAAGTAGAGTCATTTCAATGGTTACTAGAAATCGGTCACTAAGCAGAAAGAAGCCTAATAGAAATCTTAATTACCTATATATAGCCATATATTTTTTAATTCTCATGCTGATAGTCTACTCCATCATCATTATCTATACATTGCTTCCTTCACTTTTGTGGGTTCAGGGAATGTAGCTTCACTTTAATATATGAAATGTGAGCAAAATGTAATTTGCTAATAAATAAGCTGCTTTCTTTAAAGTCAAATGCGGCTCTTAATGTTTCCATTTCACTGTTCTTTTATTTAGGGAATACACCTAATAACTAATGATACTGCATTGGCAGCTTTAAATACTTCTTGGTCTATTCTTTAATAGTTTTATTTGGCAAAATCCATATTTTAGTTATTTTAAGGAAAAAGTCTTACATTTGAAATCCTTCAACAGGCATTTAGTCACCTTGTATACATTTCAATTTTTTATTTCCAAAGAGCAAAAAGACAAAATTAACATTTGAATGTCTTGTCTGTTAATGGGTTATATTGCATAAATTGTACTGCTCCATAAATATGTACTTCTAAAGCCACTTTGTTCTGCTGCTGCTTTTCCTTGTCAGTGTTGAAGACCAGATGGAGCAGTCATCCTTGTACTTTTGGGACCTTTTGGAAGGTAGTGAGAAAGCAGTGGTAGGAACGACATGTGAGTTTTCTCTACTCTGGACTTATGCAGTAAATACTAAACTTTATGTCTAGAAGTTTAGTATGATATTGAGGGTCTAAACTGTGTCAGTCCATCAGAACTTACATGTCTGACAATATTATATTCATTGGGAGAATGATCCCTTTGTTTAGTTCTGTTAAAAGCAGCTATTGTACAACCCTATTCACTAAAATGGAATTCAGGGAGAGTTTTGAAGTGGCAAGTCAATATGATTTGGAAAGAGAGCTAAGTGCTGGCTTCAACACTAGCTTGATCATTTTGGGGTTCCGTTTTCTATTCTGCATGGTAGTACCTGCTCTATTTAAGAGTTTTAAATTTATACATAGTTAACATTAAGGCTTATCTACCACATCAGCCTAAGAATATATGAATGATTTTATAGTCTATTGAAACATTGTTGTCTATTGATCTGGAAGTGGTCTATGGAAAGAGAGTTCTTTTGGCTTCCTAAATAGACTTTGGCCAATGACCAAATACAGATGACTGGACATAAAGCACATAGCTTTGTGTTCTAGCTTAGAATAATGAAGACTCATTAAATGGTAGTAAATATTTTTGTTATCAGTGATTGCTTCCTTTTTAAAAAAATATCCAAGTATCTATAACTATCTTAAGATTTCTAAGTTTGTTCAAGCTTAAATCAAAATTAAAAATGTATTTCTTGGTTAGAATGCAAAATGAGTTTAGAAAATAGTTTGGCAGTATGTTAATAAAATGAAGCATATACTTATTAACGCTAAGCAATCGGTCTTCTAGTACCTAAGATAAATGAAGACATGTTCATATAAGTACTTGTACACAAATGCTCGTACAAGCTTTATTCAGCTGATAAACTGATAAAATGTAGTATATCCATACAGTGGAATCTATTCACCAATAAAAAAGGGACAGAACTATTGATACATGTAACAACATGGATGAATCTCAAAATAATTATGCTGAGTGAAAGAAGCCAGACATAAAATGAGTACATATTGTATGATTTCATTTATATGAAATTCTAGAAAAGGCATTATGGAATGGTTTTTCGAGGGGTCAGGGGAGGAGATTAATTGCAAAAGGGGTAGTAAGAACTTTTTGGGTTAATGAAAATGCCTACATCATGGTTCTGGTGGTAACACAACTAAATATCTGTTACAACTGTACAGTTAAAGTAGGTGAATTGTGCCTGTAAATTATATCTGAAAGCTGATATGAAAAAAAAAAAAATTATGTCATAGTACTCCTATGAAAGGAATAATAAGACTCAAATGAAGTACAGAGCTCTACTTAGCTTGGTATTATGTTTATAATGGATATTTAAAATAAAATAACTTTAGACCTATTTGTAGTATAGTGACCTTAGCATCATTTTAAGGTTTTTCTTGATTATCAAATGGTCAGGTGGTAGGAATGACAAACAGCATAACTCGAGTAAAATCTTCGTGATGGAATTTTGTAGTTTAAAAATATTTCAGAGTTTGTACAAGATAGGGTTTTCTGATAGATTGATAATATTAGTAATCTAATAGAGATTGTCCAATATAGGATTTTTTTTTAACCCTATCTAATAGGTAGATTTTGAGGAACTGACTTTTACTCCTCTAAAGCCTTAATTACTTGGGGAAGATAGAGTGGTTGCTAGTTGTGATGGCTTGGGAGCAGATAGGAAAAATGACTTATTTTTCATCTCGTGGAATAGATATGTGCTTTTGTGACATATTTGATGAGGATATCTGATTTTTAGTCATTTTTCAAATGGTGGAAATGGAGGTCCAGAGAAACTTAAGTGACTTGCTGAACTTTTGAGATTCTGATCTTGTTAAAATCATATTGATTCAGCATAAAGATGGACTGCATATTTACTCTTCATGGCACTAACAAGTTCTCCAGTCAGTACCATGACAATATGAACTGTTGTAAACTATATGTACATCAATGTAAACTATTGTAATGATGTACTACATCTAGAATAAAATTAGGATTTCTATTCCCAGTAATTTTCGGTGAGGTCATGTGATAACTAAGTCTTAATTACTCTTTCTTAGACAAACACATGAAAGATCTACTGTCTAAATTGCTGAACTCAGGCTATTTTGAAAGTATCCCAGTTCCTAAAAATGCCAAGGAAAAAGAAGTACCACTGGAGGAAGAAATGCTAACACAGTCAGAAAAAAAACCACAATTATCGAAGGCTGAATCTGTCAAAGAGCCAGGTTTGTTGTGACCTCTGACAATCCTTGTAGTGGTTGCGTTTTTTAATACCCCAAATGAGTCACATATTGTGCAGTGATTGCCTTATTTTAATTGGTTAGGTTCTGCATACATGGAAATCTTTACTTACTGCAGGATAAACCTAGGTTTATAAAACATCTCTAGGCTTTATCACCATGATTTATAGAGTGAACCTTATTAGAAATATTAGTTTATACTGTGTCCCAAAAGAATACATTGCTTAAGAGGAGGGCATTTATGGAATTTGAATAAACTTCTCTGTTAAACTACTAGTAGGATAATTCTGTTTAAAATTGTTTACAATGGAAGATATAGTAGAATCCAATACTGTAGCAGAATGAGGATATAATTAACCTAATTTGAAATATCGATTTGGGGAAAGTGCTAAAGTCAGTAAAGAAAATATATTTTTTAAATTACCGTTTGCCTGGGGAAAAATATCTTGAGCAGATGGCACTTTTGCTTTTGTTTGCTGAAGCTGGATTTATTAAATATCTGTTCTTTTTTTTTTTTTT